AATCGAAGGGGTTTGGGGGAATTTTTGAGTGACGGTGCTCTAGGGTTTGAGGGTGTCTGAGAGAGAAAAGAGGAGAAGAGGATTCAGAGGCGGCGGAATTAGAAAAATGGGTAGGGTTTAGGGGTGTTAGGGGGTAATTAAAAATGGTAATTAATCATGGACCGTTGATCTTTTGAGATCAACGGCCATGATTTGATCTGGTGATGGGGCGGGTTGGATGGAAATTGGGCTTGGGTATTTTAATTGGGCTTGGGGGGGTTAATGTTTTTGTCTAGGTCCGAAATTAAAACAAAAATCAAAAGGGCTATTTATTAAATACTCAATTAATTCGATAAGTAATTTTAAAAATAATTAATAAATTATTAAAAAATAATTTTCATGTATAAAAAATGATTTAAAATAATTACTTAATATTATGAAATTATAAAAAGCTATTTTCTGGTGAAATAAAGTAATAATGCATACATAGGTTATTATTGCAAAGTTGTTGCAATTATAACCCAAAAAATATAAATGTGGCTATTCATGAAATAATCAAAGCTTAATATAAATATAAATAATAAAATTAAGCAATAAATTATCGTAAAATCGTTTGTAATGCAATTAGTATTTATTTATATACTAAAATGCTAGAGCAAATTAATTAAAATCCATTTAAGATTATAGGAAAATTATGGAAAAATACTGGTTGATGCTCATGCACTATTTTGAAAGTGTATATGCATTTTAAAATATAAGTAAAAAATTGGGTATCAACAATAGTACTAGCGCAGCTACACAAACTCTGTGCGTCATGCATCCCGAAGGGTCCGGGAACAAAATCTCTCAAGAACATCTCTGAAAACTGAGTCCATGTGAGTGAAGTTGCATCGACTGGGCTACCCACATCATAATCCTGCCACCACTGATACGCTGCTCCTGACAATTAGAATTTAGTAAAAGAACCTCTGCTCGCCTCCACAATTCCCATGGTGCGGAGTATACGGTGGCACTTCTCTAGAAAACCCTGCGCATCCTCGGTCGCTAGACCACTATAAGTAGGATGATACTTCTTGAACCTCTCAAGTCTCAGCTGCTCCCGGGGCCTGATCAACCTGGAGTACAAGCTGCGTGAGTGTGGGCTCCTCCCCCATCCTGAGATGTAGCTGGTGCGAGGGGGATCAATCCCGCCTAATCCAGAGCACCAAACATGCTCATAAACTGTGATAGAGTCTCCTAATTTACAAGGGTGATAACAGGCTCCTCGGGTCCCTGTCCCCCAACCAAAGGTACTGGTAGCTCCTCAGTCGCTGCTCAGATAGGTGCTCTAGCTGCTCCATGTGCTCCTCCCCAGCCCTGGCCTCTCCTCGCTCTAGTAGGGGGCGCAGGTGTCTGATCATCGAATCCAGCCGTGCGTGTCCTCACGATCTGTGAGAGAATAGAAAGACAAAAACTCAACTTTCAAAATTAACAAATTCGTACGATAAGGAATCAAAGAAGTGGAATTTTTTCCTAAAACTTTCATAACCTCTCAAAAATATGTACAGAAATCTCCATACCGATCCGCAAGACTCTACTAAACCTGCTTATGACTCATAACACCTATGAACCTAGAGCTCTGATACCAACTTGTCACGAGTCCAATTTCCCACCTTAGGATGTCGTGATGGCACCTAGCCTTCAAGACTAGGTAAGTCTAATATTTAATAAAAACTTAACATAATTAATCAAACTGATATACTAAAATAAAATCGACAAACTCACATAAATTCTCAAAATAGAACATCAACAACATAATTCTCAAAATTGGTGGAACTGAGTCATAAGCTCTACAGAATATTCTAAAACCTCCACTACAACACTGCATGATAAAGAAAATAACAGTAATGAGATGATAACGGAAGATAACTCCGAGGCCTGCGAACGTCGAGCAGGTATACCGTGAAGTCTCTAGAAAGCAGCTAATCAATTAATCACTAGCGTCTAGCAGGACAGTTGTACCTGGATCTGTACAAAAGATGTGCGAAAACATAGTATGAGTACACCATAACGGTACCCAGTAAGTACCTAACCTCGATAGAGTAGTGACGAGGCCATGTTAAGATACCTATTAGGACAAAATAAACAGAACAATAATAATGGAAAGTAATGAAAAACGGAGAAATGAGTGATAACAAAGCAGTTTAGTAACGTAAGCTAATGACAGAATTTAAGCAAAAAGGCAACACGAAGGAAACACATAATGAGAACCACAAATAATCAAATACAGACAAAACTGGTAAGACAAGGAAGAATAAAAGTAACAAGAATTGTTCAGCCAATAAATCTTTTCAATATGAAATGTACAACAAGAATCACAATCGAGGTATCGCCTCGCATTCACATTTCACAATTTTAATTACAATCTTTGCTTATATCACTACGTGAGCCTTACATTTAGTTTTGAAAATTATTTTTTTCGAAATAGCTACACGCATTTTAGCCCACTTTATTTCACCACGACTTCAAGTAGTTCCCCTACTAGCAACACATGTATCAAGCCCAACTTATCTTATCGCATCCTTATCAACCCCTAGCCTTATACCACTGCATGCGTACTAATACCACAACACAATAACAACTCGCACCACAAGTACCCATATGCCACAACTTGCCAAAAAGTCAACAATACTAATATTTTCATAACAAATAGCCCATGGCTTAACTACAATATATACAATAATCTCAATAACAATAAGATGAATGAGGAATACTCAACAAGGAAAGATACCTCAACAATTAACAACTTCATCTCAATATGATAACAACTTTTACAACTTCAATACCAATAACTCAACAAAAAAATATTCCACGAAATAACAACCTCAAGTAAGAGTAATTTAACATAAAAGAGTTAACAAGGCAATAAGGAAAATAACAACTTCAACTAAAACATATCAGAGCAAATATAATAAGCAAGAGGTAGAACAAGTGTTACACCATTAAATAAAGCATGTAAGAGTAGATTAACAATGAAAGACGTGACATGTTATAACAATTCCATTAAAGATATAAAAAGAGTCTAAATAGCCTAAACCGGTCAAATACTATATATAGCCCGTGTACCCACTTGTCACCTTGCATACACGGCTTTCACATAACACAAATAGCACAACCAACCCAAATCCTAAGGGTAGTTTCCCCCACATTAAGTTAGTCAAGATATTACCTCAAACAAGCTAAATCAACCCATTAGTAAGCCTTTTCTGTGAATATCCAACTCTGGACCGCTCGAATCTAGTAAAAATAACTTAATACCATAAATACAAACCATAAGAAATAATTCTGGATAATAAAGTTATAATCTTTAAAGAAAATCAAAGAGTCAACTCCGGGATCGCACCTCAGAACCCGATCAAACTTATAAAATTCGAACACCCATTCAATAACGAGTCCAACCATACCAAAATTATCCAATTCCGACCTCAAATCAACGTTCAAATCCTAATTAATAGTTTAGGAAAGTTTCAGAAAGTTTCCATTTTTTTCCAACTCAAAACACTAATTAAATATTGAAAATAATGACAGAATCATTTATAATAAGGAAATTCGAGTAAAAAAATACTTACCCCCATCCAATCCTTGAAAATCCCCTCCAAATCATGCAAAAACAAGTCCTCTAACTCAAAGTGTGGAAAATGAAATAAAACCCTCGACTCTAAAGCGGACATTAGATCGCGTCTGCGACTTCACATCTGCGAAAAAGCCATCGCAGATGCGGCTTCCACTTTAAGCCCAGAAGAATTGATTCTGCATACATATATGCGTACCTGAGCGTCTGCTTCTGCGGAGATCCCACCGCACCTGCGATCCCTCGCGAAAGTCCAGATTCTACTTCTGCAGTTAAGTGTCTGCCCGCCTCTTTCCACACATACGGATCCAGTCAGCCAAGTCCAAGTCTTCTTCTGCGATCCACCAGCCACACCTCCGGCCAAGCCCACCGCAGGTGCGATGACACCGAAAACTTAGTTGTTCAACAACACTTATCCTAAGTCCAAAGTGAGTGCGAAATCCATTTGAATCACACCCGGGGTCCCCAAGATCCTGTCCAAAAATATCTTCAAGTCCCAAAACACATAACGAATCTACTCGAGGTCTAAAATCATATCAAACAACACCAAAACCACGAATTGCACATTGATTCAAGCTTAATGAACTAATGAACTTTCAACTTCTAAAATTAATGCCGAATCATATCAAACCAACCCAAATGACCTCAAATTTTGCACCCAAATCATAAAATGACACAACAGACTTATTTCAACTTCCGGAACCAAAATCCAATCCTGATATCAACAAAGTCAACTCTCGGTAAACCTCTCAATCTTCCTAACCTTCAGTTTTCCAACTTTCGTCAATTCAAGCCAAAATAACTTGCGGACCTCCAAATCAATATTTGGACATTCACCTAAGTCCAAAATTACCATACGAAGCTATCAGAACCATCAAAATTCTATTCCGGAGTCATCTACACGAAAGTCAAACTCCGGTAAACTCTTCCAACTTAAACTTCCAACTTTGGGACAAAGTGTCCCAATTCACTTCGAAACTCTCCCGAAACCAAACCAAAAACCCCCAACAAGTCACATAGCCACAAATTGAATATAAACGAGGCAATAAATAGGGGAACGCGGCTAAAATATTCAAAACGACTGGCCGGATCATTAGAGGACCATCTAGTATATCAAACAATTAATTGTTCCCAACAAACCATATCTTAAGATTAAATGATATGCAGTATACGAACATTATTAGAAAATGATTATTCACACCAATATTTACGAGATCAAACAATTACACATTAAGAAAAATTATTTATAAAAAAAAGGAAATAGACAAAATGAAAATAGTAAAGGTCTAACGCGCAAGATCGCAAAGTGACCATCATTCACCCGGACAAAGACTCTATAATCAGAATAATTGGTTACTCTATCTCATTAATCACACGCACTCTTGTTAGAAAATAGGAAAATTTTGGCCAAATGAATAAAGATGTGAATGAAACAATTAGAAAGAGAGAACAAAAAGCCAAAACCTTAGAAAAGAGAGAAAACACAACAATCTTTACTAATACTAATGATAAAGAAGTAAGGGTTGAGCTAGACAATTCGGTTTGGAAGGAACCCGATAGCTATTGCTAATATTCTATTACCCAATAATCAAGAGGAGTTTAGTGGGAAGTTGAGAACCCATAGACTCCACTTGTAGATTCTAGAGCTGAAAAGGGTCGCTTGTTGAAGGTGTGTAGATTCTAGAGTTACCATTTTCTTGATTCTTTCAGCTGCAAATGTGCAAAAAATAGTCTTGGGTAGACGGCTATACAGACATAGGTAATTAGTGGGTTTGTTTTCAAATTTGGCATGGATCGATACGCCTAGAGATTTTATCTTGAGGGTTTGATCAAGATTGAATTTTCAGCTGAATCTGAAGTGGGGTTTATTTTGTGCTGAAAACCTGAAGTGGGGTTTGTTCAAAAATTGAATTTTGTGCATAATTTGAGGGAATGGATGAGACAACAACTTCAGGTGAAGGTGCAACAGCCCCAACAGAGGAGTTGCTAAAGAAAATCCAAGAATTAGAGGCAGGGCATGCTCAGCTGAAAAAGGAGATGTCTAAGCTTATGGTTTCAAATGATGGTAGAAGATCAGAGAGGCAAAGGTCTCATTCTATTTCCCCTCAACGGCCCCCTCGCCTTAGGGGTTCTGCTGCTGGTTTTGATGCATTGGGGAAGAGGGGCTCCACTTCTTTCCGGCATTCGTCACCTTTGCAAAGAGAGAGTAATAGTAAAAGTGAGCCTTGTGGTGGAGGTGCAGGTCCAGCTGCAGTCAAGTTTACTGATAGACAGTACTTGAGCATATTGCAATCAATGGGACAAGCAATCCATATATTTGATCTCAATTTTCGTGTTATTTGCTGGTGAGTACTTGCTATTTGTGGAAGTATGTCTGCTCAGTTCTCTTCTGTTTTAGTCTTCTTGTTTTTATTCCAGATTATAGTTATAAACACTAATTTTTATAGTATCAATATCGTTTAACATGTTGTAGCGAAGTTATTTCTTCTTTTTAGTGTTCGTCATCTTTGCTGATTGCCTTTCCTTTTTTTGGCTTGAACTTGGGAGAGAAAAGAAGGAAAGATACTTTATTAAGCATGTAGGTATTTAGCATGGATACCGGATACCTTTTCCATCAAATTGAGTCCTTAAATTGTATTTACTACCTAGTTGCGACTAAGGCTTAGTTGGGTTGGTATGCTTTTATTAGTTCCATGTTTGCTAGGGATCTTTGTGTTCGTCCAAAGATTTGTATATCAGTAAGCTGTAGCGAACCTCTATGTCACGCCCCAAAATCCCACCAATAATTGTGATGGCACCTAGCGCGCTGGCTACGCGAACCAATCACACAACAACCGAATAAACAACAGTATTGAAGCAATATATCAAGTCTAATAGAGATTTATAGCATAAATAAGTCTAGAATCAACACCAATATGCATAAATCAGTTATATGATCCACAGGAATAGGTGTCAACGAGTATATGAGCTCTAAGAGTGTCGAAATACAGTAGTCTGAACTCAATACAACATTGTCTAAATAAACAACAGTTTCAAAATAAGAAAAGAAGGTGACATCGAGGTCTGCAGATGAACAAGTTGCACTATCTCGAGTCTCCTAGCGCCACAATAATCTACTTCTCAGCTCTGCTAGTGCCAACACTTGGAGTATGAGTATAACCGATATAATATACTCAGTAAGTATCTAGATTAACCTCGGCGAAGTAGTAGAGAGATTGGTCAACTGATACTTACTATCATAACTTGAATAGTCCATGAATAAATACAACACAAGAACCTAAATAAAACAGTGTTACCATGATCCGATATAATTAACAGAAATAATATCAAGCTTTATATAAGAAATTATCAAAACTCACACTTGTTCATTGAGACAGCATATAAAGATGATATGCATCATAGAGCGTTATTATAAATGCCAAGTATAAGAGTCTATAATGTTTATGCATGAATAATACTCGGCCCAACAACCGACACTTCTCAAGTGTCCAACAAACCTGCGTACACAGGGCCCAAGGTACAATAGGTGATTACCTGACTTTGGAGGGTCGAATCCAAATCTATGCGCTGCACGGACAACTCACGTGCTAATTACAATAACATTTGCATGAACAACTCACGTGCTATAGTACTCATCTTGCAAGGACAACTCACGTGCCTCAACCTCAGTCCATATAAGAGTTTCCATATATATATATAGAGTGTGTATACGCACCATAAATAACATAAGTGATGTATAATGACATAAGAAGTATACATGTAAAGAGATGTGCATGTGAACAATGTGACTACGACTAGAACAAGTAGAACATGATGTCACAATTAGCCATTTACTGTTAATGTGAGAAAATACGGGAGAAAAATATTGATATACTATTCAATTATAATATAATAACCCCTATTTATATAATACATATCCTACTCCTATTCTATGTGGGATTAGGACTAATTCATCTTATTTACATAACAATCTAACACTCTCCCTCAAACCGGTAAATACAAATAATATGTACCGAGCTTGTTACATATGTAACTAATACGAGGACCAGTGAAAGACTTGGTGAAAATATCAGCAAGCTGATCATTCGACTTCACAAATTTTGTAGTAATATAACCTAAGAGTATCTTTTCTCTGATGAAGTGACAGTCACTCTCAATATGTTTAGTTCTCTCATGGAACATCAGATTTGATGCAATATGAAAGGCGGCTTGATTATCACACACAAGTTCCATCTTGCTGATCTCACCAAATTTCAACTCCTTGAGCAACTGTTTGATCCAAATTAGCTCACATGTTGCCATTGCTCGATATTCTGCTTCTGCACTAGACCGAATAACCACATTCTTTTTCTTGCTCTTCCAAGATACCAAATTACCTATTACTAAAACACAATATTCAGACATAGAACGTCTATCACAAGGTGATCCTGCCCAATCAGCATTTGAGTATCTAACGATCTGCTCATGGCCTCGATTCTCAAACAACAATCCTTTTCCCAAAGCTGATTTTATATGCCGAAGAAGGAGGACAACTGCATCCCAATGACAATCATAGGGAGAATTCTTAAACTGACTCACAACACTCAAATGAAAGGAAATGTCAGGTCTAGTCACTTTGAGGTAATTCAATTTACCAACCATCTGCCTATATCTTGTAGGATCGGTAAGCGGCCCTTCTGCCCTAGTAGAAGTTTAGAATTCGGATCTATAGGAGTTTCAACAGGTTTACAACCTGTCATTGCTGCCTCCTCAAGAATGTCCAGGGCATGCTTTCGTTGTGAGTTCACAATACTTGAGCTATACTCGGCGACCTCAATACCCATAAAATATTTTAATCTGCCCAGATCCTTAGTCTGAAAGTGCTCAAAGAGATGGTTCTTTAACTTAGTAATACCATCCTCATCATTGCCGGTAATAACAATATCGTCAACATAAATCACCAGATAGTTACCGAAATTTGAAGCAAAATGCCAATAAAACATAGGGTGATTAGCTTCACTATGAGTCATGCCAAACTCCATGCCAAACTCCTGAATAACTGTGCTGAACATACCAAACCAGGCTCGAGGAGATTGCTTTAGACTATAGAGGGACCGGAGCAACCGACATACAAGGCCACTAGACTCTCCCTGAGCAACAAAACCAGGTGGTTGCTCCATATAAACCTCATCCTCAAGGTCACCATGAAGAAAAATATTCTTAATGTCCAACTGAGAGAGGCCAATGTCGAACAACAACCATGGGTAGGAAAAGGCGGACTGATGCTATTTTAGCCACGGGAGAGAAAGTACATCTATAATCGAGCCCAAATATCTGAGTATACTCTTTGGCAACAAGACGACCCTTAAGTCGATCAACCTGGCCAGTTGGACTAACTTTGACTGCATACACCCATGACCCAACGACAACCAACAATAGATATACCTGAAGGAAGAGGAACAAGTTCCCAAGTATCGTTCGTATGTAAAGTAGACATCTCGTCAATCATAGTCTGCCGCTATCCTGGATTAGACAGTGCTTCACCTGTAGATTTAGGGATGGAAACAGAGGTCAAAGATGATACAAACGCATAATGGGGTGATGATAGATGATGATAACATAAACCGACATAATGAGGATTAGGATCAAGTGTGGACCTTTCGAAGTGCAATCAATAGACTAGGAGGAGACAAGTTCGCAGTAAGAGCAGGGTCATGCAGGACGTGAATCAGCTAGGCTTGATGCTGAGCGCGAACGACAATGATAAGTCAGGAGTGGTGGAGCTGTAGAAGGTTGAACTGGACTAAGTGATGAAACTAGAGCTATAGGTGGTGGAGCTGAAACTAGAGCTGTAGGTGGCGGAGCTAGAGTTACTGAGGAAGATGAATAGGAGATAGTCACTGAATCTCCAAATGATGAAATTGGTAGTACCTCAGAAATATCTAAGTGATCACCTAACCTTGTGAAAGTATGACTGGGTTTCAAAGAAGCTAACATTAACAGACATAAGGTACTGCTGGAGGTCAGATGAATAACATCGAGATCCCTTTTGCATTCTCGAGTAACCCAGAAATAAGCACTTAATAGCATGAAGAGCTAACTTATCTTGGAAATAAGGTTATGAAAAAAGCACGTGCTCCCAAAGACACGAGCTGGAAGAGAGAACAAAAGTGAGTGGGGAAATAAGACAGAGAATGTAACTTGATTCTTGATAGCTGAGGATGACATACGATTAATAAGATAACAAGATGTGAGAACTGCACCCCCTAATAATTTACCTTATCAAAAAAAAAAAAACTGCACCCCCTAAAAACGCAATGAAAGATGAGATTGTGCAAGTAAGGTACGAGCAGTTTCAATGAAATGTCTGTTCTTTTTTTTTCAGCTACCCCATTTTGTTGAGATGTGTATGGACAAGATGTTTGATGAATGATTCCATGAGAATTCATAAACTGTTGAAATGAGGAAGAAAAATAGTCTAGGGCATTATCACTACAAAATGTGCGGATAGAAACCCCTAATTGATTTTGAATTTCAGTGTGGAAGGTCTGGAAAATAGAAAAAAACTCAGATTGATTTTTCATCAAAAAAATCCAAGTGCACATGGAATAATCATCAATGAACTGACAAAGTAGCGGAATCCCAAGGTAGAACTGACCCGACTAAGACCCCAAATATCTGAATGGACTAAAGTGAAAGGTGATTTTGCTCGATTATCAGGACGCCGAGGGAAATGGGAGCGAGTATGCTTGCCGAGCTGACATGACTCACACTCTATAGTGGACAAGTGAGATAAACCATGTACGATTTTCTAAAGTTTTGGCAAACTGGGATGTTCCAACCATTTATGTAATAAATCTGGTGAATCAGACATGTTGTTGAAGGAAGACAAGATGTGAGTCCATGTGATTTCGCAAAGACAAGGTAATAAAGTCCATTTGCTTCACGCCCGGTACCAATAATCCGCCATGTATTGCATTCCTATATAAAAACAAGGTCATCAAGAAATAAAATAGAGCATTTAAGTGATTTGACTTAGTGACTAACAAAAGGACTATCGGGAACATAAAGAACTGAATCTAAAGGTAAGGAAGGAAGTGGACTTGCTTGTCCTATTCCAGTTTTCCATGGTTTGAGACCTGTTGGCCATTGTGACTATTGGAAGAGATTGAAAATATGAAATAGTAGTGAAAATAGATTTGTTACTAGCAATATGATTAGATGCACCTGAATCAATGACCCAAGAATTGGGTAATGAAAATTGGGAGACACAAGTCACACTATTACCTATTAGAACAACGAAAGTTATCTTTAAAAATGTCTGTTTACATCCTTTGTAATAAAGGAACTCAATATAATCCGGTAGAGAAAACCATCTAACTATTCATAGTATTGGATCCCATTTCGCTACAACCAGTTTCTCAAACTAAAAGTTGTATGATTAACCTTGGAATGCCAAATCAGAAAAAGTTAAGCTGGAGACCTTTTTTTTTAAGGTTTGATGCAGTTGGAAATCAAGTTCTTCACTTGAAATTGTTGAAATCAGTAACTCTGCGGGAAAACTGAAGAAATATCTAGGCAAACACTGTTCACAACAGAAAAAAACACTGTTCATGCTGGAAAATTAGAAAAGTGGTCGGAATTTGGTTTAAATTAGATGGGTAGACTCGGTATTGAAGGGTGAGCAAGCTGTCCTGAAGAAGCTTTGCGAAAAAATGCTCGAAAAGTGGCTCACTCGGCGACGTATGATTTGGAACCCTCGCTGGAAAAATCTCTGTTGCCGGCGTGGCACGGAGAAATTTTCTGGGGTTGGTCACCGGAGGGTGATCTACCTCGTGGTGGTGTTGGTTTTTGCACAACACCGATAAAAAATAACTTTCGCGTGGACTGCCCTTAGGTCACCGGAAAAATTGCATGATGACTAAGTTCTTTCTTCCCGATGACGCTGGAATGACACACATTGATTTTTTCTCACAATGCTCTGATACCATGTGAGAAAGCACAAGAGAAAAATATAATATTGGTATACTATTCAATTATAATAGAATGAGCCCTATTTATACAATAGATGTCCTACTCCTATTCTATATGGGACTAGGACTAATTCATCTTACCTACATAACTATCTAACAGATAACAAGGTACTAAAGGCCTAAGTCATGGCTTCTAGCATGATTGAGATAGCCCACATTGTCACAGAAGGATAACAAGTCATAAATAGTATACGGTATAAATCCAAAGCATAAAGTAGTCTTACCCCGAGCATGAATAGTCCATAGCGCTTGCATATACGCTCGTTATCAAGTACGTACAACGCCCCCAATCTATAGCAATTAGTCAAATAAGGTCAATCTCCTAAGGTAGATTCCTTCAAGCCAAGTCTAGGAAATATACTTACCTTTGGGAGCCAAATAAATCCTCCCAAAATCGCCTTTCCTTAAGAAATTACCTCCAACCGGCTCAAATCTAATCAAACAATACTCAAAGAAGTCAAATAAACCCATAGGAATCAATTCCAAACAATAAAACTTTAATCTTTAATCAGCTCCCAAAAAGCCAACAAAGGTCAACCCCAACTCACATGGTCAAAATCCGAGTCTACGGGTAGATCCCATTTACCGATAACCTCATGATTCCAAATATGTGTTTAGTTTTCAAATCCAAGCCCAAATTGATGTCCGAATCCTCAAATTATACTCTCTTAAGTTATAGACAAAACCCCAAGTTTCACTTTGAAATTTCATGTTTTAGGTACAAAAATCCATGGGGAATCAAGATATATGATCAAATCCAAGTTTAGATTACTTACCTCCAAGATACTAGTGAAATCTCTCTTTAAAATCTCCTCCAGTCGTTCTCTAAAACTCAAAAATATGAAAAATGGGCAAAATCCCGAAAGTTAGACTTAAAATTCCCCTGCCAGCACTACCCTCCGTGAACGCAACAAAAGCCTCGCGTTCGCGAAGCACAAACTGCCTCCCCAAAATTCACCTATCGCAATCGTGGGAAGACTCCCCTATGCTAAGGCGGTTGAACCTCCACGAACACGATGCCTCAGTGACCTCCAGCCTTCGCGCACGCGACCACCCCTTCACAAACGCTAAGCACAACAACTCCCAGCCCAAATCCTTTATCGCAAACGCGGAACACACCTCGCTAATGCAATGAACACCAGAAAATCTGCCAACACAAAACATGCTCCGGGTGGTCCGAAACTTACCCGAGCCCTCGAGACCCCGTCCAATTATACCAACAAGTCCATAAACACTACCCGAACCTATCCAAAGCCTCAAAACACATATGGAACCATCACAGCTAAGAATCAAAGGCCAAACCACTCATTGAACTCCTTAAGTTCATAAGCTTCTAAACTTCCAACCAAGTGTCCGATTCATACTTAGTCATTTCGAATCACAACCAAACTTTGCATACAAGTTCCATACAACAAAATGAACCTAACTACATTCGCGTAACAACAATCAGAATCCGATAACCCTAAAGTCAACTATCGGTCAAACTTAAGAACTCTCTAATTCTTCAAATTGCCAACTTTCGGTAAATAGAGCCAAAATCTTCTAGGAACATCGAAAACCAAATCCGAACATACGCCCAAGTCCAAAATCACCATACGAACCTATTGGAACATTCAAATCACCAATCGGATATCGTTTATGCAAAAGTCAAACCTTGGTCAACTCATACAACTTAAGGCTTCTAAAATATAACTAAGTGTTCCAAATCACTCCCGAACCCCACGAAAACCAAACATCCATCCCCGCAAGTCATATAACATCAAATGAACCTACGGGAAGCATCAAATACGAAAATGAGATTCTAATACTCAAAATGATCGATCGGATCGTTACACTATCAGAGAACGCCAATAAGTCTTTAAAACTGAACTATTGAGTATAGGAAATAAACTAGTCCTAATGGAATGGAATGGAAATTGAGGATTCAAATGGACGACCACAACTAGTTGGGATTGATGCGTAGTTGTTGTTGAATCTTAAAAATGTAGGACCAAACTCAGACTACAGAATTTACTTCCTTTGCGAAATTGGGTTGTAATTGTTGTGCAGGAATCGAAGTGCTGAACAACTATATGGTTATTCAGCTGCCGAAGCTCTTGGGCGGAATCTCCTTGAGCTAATAGCAGATCCTAAGGATCATGCTGTGGCAAAAATCATTTTATACCGAGTGGCAAAGGGTGAGAATTGGACTGGACAATTTCCTGTGAGGAATAAGCGAGGGAACAGATTTTTAATCGTAGCAACAGACACCCCTCTTTATGATGATGATGGTACATTTATTGGTATTATTTGTGTATCAAGTGACGTGAGGCCATTTCAAGAAACATCTACAGAGGTGAAGCTTATCAAAGCTGATAAAAGTTCTGGTGGGCCTAGAAGCATTGCTTCTGCGAGACTTGGACTTAATCCACAGCAACCTCTGCAAGTTGCCATTGCCTCCAAAATATCGAGTTTGGTTAGTATGGAGTTCTTTGGCATGCTTTCTTTTTTCTATTTTTGCTTTTGTTTTTTCTTGGTTGTATGAGATGGGCATGTGCTAACATGATGGAAACATCAAATAGGCTTCAAAGGTGAGCAACAAGGTTAAGTCAAAAATGAAAACCGGAGAGGGCAGCGTTCTTGGGGAAGGTGGAAGTGGATGTGGTCACCATTCTGATCATGCTTTTTCTGACGCTGCTCTATCAGATCAAAGGGAAGATGCAAATCCAAGTGGAGCGAGTACGCCCAGGGGAGATGTTCATGTTTCTCCATTTGAGGTATTCTCCAATGTTGAGCACTCTCCAGAAACACCCTCAAGAAACTCGAGGGATGAGAGTGAGGCAAAACCTGGGATTTCTAAGATTATAACTTCAAAGGCAGAGGCATGGATGGTTAAGAAGAACTTATCATGGCCATGGAAAGGCAATGAGCGGGAAGTGTTAGAGGCAAAGACTACGCGTTCTGTTTGGCCCTGGCTAAACAACGACCAAGATAATGAGTGGAATCATTGTAAGAGTTGTAATGCAGTATCAACATCAGACGATCAAGTTATTGAAAGTAACCGTACAACGACCAATGAGGCTTGGGGATCCTGGTCATCGTCATTTAATGTTAATAGCACAAGCAGTGCTAGTAGTAGCGATAGCACCAGTAGTACAGCTGGTAATAAAGTGGATACTGATACTGACTGCTTGGATTATGAAATCTTGTGGGAGGACTTGACAATTGGAGAACACATTGGACAGGGTACGTCAAATTCTTGTTTACTGGTAAAATTTTCAGAGATAAGTCTATCAGTTATACAGACCTTTTTCTCTTGTTAAGGCATTCGCAAGCATGTATGATGCTATCACTTTCTGTTTTACAGTACTTTTAGATGTTCAGCCAAATATCAGAAGCTTGGACAAAATTTTGCACTAATTACTTCTATGCATATTTGCGAAGCTTACACACTAATTTCACAATGAAGATTCCCTTCTTGTGTTAGAGCTATCGGATTTATGTCTTTTATGGTTCTACTAGAGCTTATCATTTTCTGCTTCATCGTTCTCACTTTTATTTGTTTATATTTCACTAGGTTCTTGTGGAACTGTTTATCATGGGCTGTGGTTCGGATCAGTACGTTCTCTGGCTCTTTTATGAAATTCCATTCATAGAGAATGTCCTAAGAAGCTCTTTTTAAGTGTTTTCAAACATACCGCGGCATGATGAAATGTCTTGTTATCAAATATTGCGTGTTTTAGTTATCAAGTTGACAGGAGCTTACACTTATCCCCCAAAAAAGGCAACAAAGGGCTAAACTCTAGCTGCTTTTTCTCATTATACGCTCCATTTCAATTTAATGTTTAAAACTTTAAATTTCTTTAAGCCAGTATTTGAACAGTGTTTGACATGTCACTTCTCATTTTCTATGACTGTCATTTGAATTCTAGATTAACTGGTTACTTTTAAGGAGTGGAACAGCCCGTAAGAAGTGATTGTGCTGCTTCACTTTTGTAAAGTGATGTCTTTGTTTTGCAGGATGTTGCGGTTAAAGTATTTTCGAAGCAAGAATATTCTGATGAAGTCATATATTCCTTTAGACAGGAGGTCAGTATGTTTCTCATGAATAAATTGTGAAAAGTTTTACTGTTTCCATATTGAAAATTGTTTTTCTATAGTATTTGGCGTAACTGGTAAAGTTGCCGCCATGTGATCAGGAGGTCACGGGTTCAAGCCGTGGAAACCGCCTCTTGCAGAAATGCAGGGCAAGGCTGCGTACAATAGACCCTTGTGGTCCGGTCCTTCTCCGGACCCCCCACATAGCGAGAGCTTAGTGCACCGGGCTGCCCTTTTCATAGCACTTAAGCTATATCACAGTTATTATTGAGTATTATGGGCTCTCAAATGGTAAGAGTAGAATGAACATAACTTTTCATAACCCTGACCCTGAGCATAGTTGTTCTCTTCCTCATCATTGGTGTGTTTGAGTTTTGCATTTTCTTGTATGATGGACCTAAACGTAGGACTCTAGATAACCGTAGATAAAAACAGTAAAGGTACTAGTTGAATTTTAATAAGTTGTAGAATTTGTTTGAAAAGCCACTTAATCAAACTAACATATCTAATGCTAATAGTGAATTAATATTCTTAAGCTGTCGCCTTACACACTCGACATCAGCTGTGAAGTTCTATGCATTAATCACTCACTTTGAGGAGTACTAGAAGATCTCTGCTTGGAAATACTTCTCTTGCTCGTGTCCAAGCTTCTGTGAAGATCTCAAATAAAACTACCGTGGTTCTATAGTTCTCCTTTTTGTTTTGACTTTTGATTACTTTTCATCTGGATTCCTGCTTTCACTTTCTGCTTGGGTGCTGGCTAGTATTGTATTAGAGGATTCCTGTTAGGAAAAGCGTTATTATAATAAAGCACTTTATATCAGATATTTGCATATAATCATCTGAAAGATTCTTGTAAATATGTCCTTCTAGAAGGGTTTTGTGTGAGATATAACAAATCCTTTTCAGTTTCAAATTAAATAATGGTGATTGGTTTTCTACGGTTATTCTTGATCAGCAAGCATTTCTAAGAGATATTATGCTTGCTAATCTTAGGTGTCACTGATGAAACGTCTCCGACATCCAAATATTCTTCTTTTCATGGGTGCGGTAACTTCATCTCAACACCTCTGCATTGTCACAGAGTTCCTGCCACGGTCAATTTCAGTTCTTAAAACCAATTTGTTAAGCTCGTATTTTTTGTCATGTCTCTATTATTATGATGATATCATATAATTTACAAACCATTTCCGTTTTCCATTTATGCAGAGGAAGTTTGTTTAGGTTACTACAGAGGAATGCATCCAAACTAGAATGGAGACGGCGTATTCACATGGCTTTAGATATAGTGAGTTCCTACGAAATCTGTAATACCTAGAACATTTCATATTATCATGAGTAGCATCCATTATTTCTTCTGGCAAAAGCATCACTTCTATTTTTCCTCTTCAAGATCTTCTGACTTGTAAGATTGTGCTTTCTTTTCTTCTAGATCAACTGGAATTTGGCATTACGATGGTAAATCATGTTATTCGACTGTAATGTGTTTCTTTATGCTGTTTCTTCAGGCTCGTGGCATGAACTATCTTCATCATTTCAGCCCACCTATAATTCATCGGGATCTGAAGTCTTCGAATCTTCTTGTGGACAAGAATTGGACCGTTAAGGTTACACTATCATTTTACTGCTGATTTTCCTTGCCAGACTCCTAAACCCCTGTCACTTAGAGGTTCTAGTTGTATTGAGGTTCTCACTATGCAAGTATCTATAGGTTGGGGACTTTGGTCTGTCACGTCTTAAGCACGAGACATATCTAACAACAAAGAGTGGGAAAGGAACGGTATTCAACTTGAACTGAGGACCTCATTTTCTTAGCATATATATATTAGCTACNCATGGCTTTAGATATAGTGAGTTCCTACGAAATCTGTAATACCTAGAACATTTCATATTATCATGAGTAGCATCCATTATTTCTTCTGGCAAAAGCATCACTTCTATTTTTCCTCTTCAAGATCTTCTGACTTGTAAGATTGTGCTTTCTTTTCTTCTAGATCAACTGGAATTTGGCATTACGATGGTAAATCATGTTATTCGACTGTAATGTGTTTCTTTATGCTGTTTCTTCAGGCTCGTGGCATGAACTATCTTCATCATTTCAGCCCACCTATAATTCATCGGGATCTGAAGTCTTCGAATCTTCTTGTGGACAAGAATTGGACCGTTAAGGTTACAC